TTCTTCTTCTTCTTCTTCTTCTTCTTCTTCTTCTTCTTCTTCTTCTTCTTCTTCTTCTTTTTTCCTTCCTGGTGTTTCTGTTTGCACTTTAGGAACCCACCCCGGGCTATCTGTTGCATTTGGTGGCACATCGCCTTGGTCTCCTTGGATCTGGGATGGTTCTTCAGCTCTTCTTGTGCCTGTCATTATGTTGACATTTTGAAGAGGTTTGTCTTTAGGTTAAATTCCTAGAATTTCTGGACCCAAAGTCAATATATCTGTATTTTTGTTAGATGTATTGGGTTGAACCATGGTCCCTGAAAAGCTCTGCCCACGTCATAACTCTAGGTGACTGTGGATTGTGGCCTTATTTCGCAAGAGCGTCTTTGCAGATGGAAATAAGGCAAGGGTCTTTTTTTTTTTAAATATTTTTTTAAATTTATTTGACAGAAAGAGATCACAAGTAGGCAGAGAGAGACAGGGGAAAGCAGGCTCCCCGCCAAGCAGAGAGCCCGATGGGGGGTCCGATCCCGAGCCGAAGGCAGAGGCCCCAACCCACTGAGACACCCAGGCTCCCCAAGGTAAGGGTCTTAAGATCCTTCTGGATCAAGGGCCTAACGGCAGTGACAAACTATCGTTACAAGAGAAAGGCCTGCGGAAGGAAGACCTGAGAAGACAGGTGGGGACTAAGACACGTGTCTGGAAGCTCTGGGAAGCCAGGGACCACCAGCAGCCCCCAGAGCTAGGAGACAGGCCCAGGATGGACTATATGACAGCTTCCTGCGGAGAAAACCCCGCTGACACCTTACGCTCCCACTCTGGCCCTCCGAAACTGTGAAAAGAATTTATTTCTGTTCTGAAACCACCCCATGTGTGCATCAGTTGTAGGAAGCAAGTAAGTTATGTATTGCCAATGTCCTACAGCACAGAGGGCGCTGCGTGCCCCGTGGTCTCCCCACCGTCAGCACAGTGCGCTGGGAAGCTCTCACAGCTTGGCCAATCCGACAGTCAGGGAATGGCAATGCTGGGAGGTTTTAATTTGCATTTTTAAAAATTAGAAATGAAGTTGAATGTGTTTTCATATATTCTGGTAGCACAGATGAGAAAGAACTGCTCTTTGTCAGTGACGGACCTTGCAAATATATTTTCTCCAGTTTTCATTTTTGTTGACTTTGCCTATGAGTGTTTGAGCAGACAATTAAAAAAAATACTTCTTATGTAGTCAAACTAGCCAATCTTTAATTTCATCTGGACTATGACTCATGGGCAGAAAACCTTCTACGCCTACATTGTAGAGGAATTAACTGGTGCTTTCTTCTTGTACTCCTCTTTAAAAAAAAAAATTTATTTGACAGAGAGAGACAGTGAGAGAGGGAACACAAGCAGGGAGAGTGGGAGAGGGAGAAAGCAGGCCTCCCGCAGAGCAGGGAGCCTAATGCAGGGTTTGATCCCAGGACCCTGGGATCATGACTGGAGCCAAAGGCAGATGCTTAATGACTGAGCCACCCAGGCACCCCTCTTCTTGTACTCCTATAGCTTCTTTTTTTTTTTTTTCTCACATAAATCTCTGATTCTTAGTTTATTCTTATGTACGGTATGAAGAACGGGTCTTCTGTATCTCCCCCTCCCCAATGACTATCGAGTTGTCCCAATACCATTTATTTAAAAGTCTTTCTTTTTTGAATATTAAATTTCCATGTGTACTGGTGTCTATTTCCAGTCTCCTGAACCTGTGTCACTGGACCTCCCGTGGATTTGTGTTCCAGTGCCACAGAATTAATCAGAGGATCTGTGTGGTTTGCTTTAATATCTACTCAGGCTGGTCCCCTCTCCTCCCTACCCCCACCCACCTTTTCCTTGTCAGTGTTTTCCTGGCTCTTTATCTTTATCTTTCTATATGGACTTCAGGATCATCTTGTCTGTCTCCAGAGGAAAAAAAATATTTGCTAGTATTTTTATTGGAATACCATCAAATTGTTAAATGAAGCCAGGGAAGACAGATAGCCCAGTGATGCTGAGGCATCTTATGTAAGAAGGTGTATCTTTCCATTTGTTCAAGTCTAATTTTGCATCTTTAAGGAGTCCTGTCATAGTTTTCTCAATGTAGATTTTGCATATTTCTTGTTTATTTCTAAGTGTTGTATTTTTGGGGGCAGGGGGTTGCTACTGGGTTTTCTCCTCTATTATTTAACTGGTCATGATTTGTATATATGAAGCCTCATATATACAAATATATATATTTGTATATATTCAGGCTTGCTGAATTCTTTTGTCACATGAATTTGTTTTATCACTAATTTGCTAGGGTTCTGCGGGTGGATTATAGGCCGTCTGCAAGGAGTGTTGTATTTCGTTTTTTTCCTATTCCACCCCTCTGCTTTCTCTTGTTTAACTCCATTGCCTAATACTCCCAGGACAATGGGAAATGGTGTGGAATATAATGCAGCTTTGTCTTAGTCTTGACCTTAGTGGGAATGCATTTAGTGTTTTCTTATTAAGCAAGATGATGCTTTTAGGATTCAGGTCTGTTTATACCTTCCACATACAATGATTTATCTATCTATCCATCTATCTATCCCTCCATCCATCCATCTCTCCATCCAATTCTTTATCTCAGTTCATGCTTTTTGCCCCAAAGGAGGAGGGTAAGCCTCTTCCTCTGGCAATGTTTCTCTAGCGCCCTCTACTGACAAAGCTTAACCTCATGTCCACACGGAGTTTTTGCGGCGCAGGGATAAAGGAAGCCCTTGAGCTTGAAGCAACAAACCCATCAGTAGTTTTGCTTTAGACAGTTAATTATATTTTTAAGATTTTTTTAAACAACGTCTTCTCTTTGTTCGCACATATACCCTTTCCGGGACTCTTCATTCTTTTGCGTAGGTCCAAATTTTCCCTTAGAATCATCTCGTTCCAGCCTTAAAAATTGTCTTTAGGGAAGGTGACGAACTTTCTCAGCTTTTGTTTGTCTGGAGAAGAACCTTCATTTTGCCTTCATTTTTGAAGGATTGTTTTGTTTCTTCCTTTTTTCTTTTTTGAAGCGGTCACCACATTCCCCCTAGCACTTCAAATATGTCATTCTGTCGTGTTTGGGCTTGCCTGATTCCTCCTTTTCTAGAAATAATTTCAAACTAACAAAAATTTACAAAAACAATAGTGTTTCCATACACTCTTCCCCCGGCTTCCGCATGCCCTGTAACCACAACATGATGGTCAAGGGCTCAAGGTGGCACGCTGCCATTCTGAGCGTGTCACCTGTCCCATTTCTTCCCTCCAACCACACCTGCTGGCCTTGACAGTGATGGTGATTTATTTGGACAGAAGAACCTGGAGAAGACAAGGGGGAACCCCCCCCCACCCCGGGTGTTTCTGTGGGCTCTCTGGTGCGCAGGGTCAGCCGGGGCTGTGGCTCCCGGGGGGTGGGGGGCGCCCTTAGGTCGGATTCACAACCTTGCCCAGGAAGAGGCTGCTCCACGTGAAGTGGTTGAAGATCATGATAATGAACGGGCGGTTGAAGCGGAAGGTGAGAGGCTCGGACGCCGTGCGCAGCATGACCCTGGGGGAGTCGGCGGTTTCCAAGCCCTTTTCATCGAGTTGCAGCACAGCCTTATGAACCACCTGTTGGAGACGGGGCGAAGGTGGGCGTTGAGCACCTGCTGCAGGTCGGGAGCTTGCCACGCCTCATCTCTTCCATCCCTCCCACCCTTGGTTTGACGGGCGGCAAAGCTGAGGCTCAGAGAGGGTCACTTGCTGGCTCCTCATCTCAGGGGCAGCCCCAGGATGAGTGCCACGGTGTGTCCACCTCCAGAACTCAGCTCACACCAAGACTTCTTCCCTAGAAAGTGGGCAGATGGGGCCCACCACAGGGAGATTGGGGGGTTCACGGGACTCACTGGACTTCAGTGTCCCCCTCAGGCGCTCCTTACTGGGTCCTGGGCGAGGCCGACCTCGCTTCCTTTGCACCTTGCTAGCCAAACCCTAGGGGCCCATCTCTGCGAAATGCTTCTGCCTACTCACGATGGAAAGGGGCTGTTGAATGGTCTCTTTCTGTGCTCAGAATTAGGAGGAATTCTGAAATCAGCAAAACGCTCGTGTAGCTTGTATCAAACACATTCAACAATTCAGAACTGGCTCGTTATTAACATCCTCTGGGGGCAGGGGCTCTGCCTGACCGGACAGTGAGGAGCCCGAGGCTCTGAAAAGCTCTGCCAACAGGTGCAGGAAGAAGCCGAGCGGGTGCGTCTTGGGGAATGAGGTTTTGAGTCAAATGGACCCCAGGCCAAACGTCAGGTTGACATTCACCAGCTCCGTGGCCCTGGTGGGCGAGCTACCTTTCCCAAGCCAGAGGCTCCTCCTTTATAAGGAGGGGCTCCACTTTACAGGGGGCTGCTGGACTCAATCCTTCGCACACCAGGCATTTCACGGAGCGCAGACTCTGTGCTGGGCACCACAACGGTCCAAGTCTGAGTGCTGGACAGAGAGGCGGCTGCCTGCTCAGCTGTCTCCTGTCCCCTCTCCTGTTTGGCCACCCACACGACCATGAGATCCTGTGAGGGCTGGACCATGTCTCAGTAACGGAGGCATACCCGGTCCCCGGCAGTTCAGGGCACGGAGTGGGCGTCCAGTACGTGTTTCCTGAATGACTGAGGGACCCACAAGGCATAAAGCTGAAGAACGAAGGGAAAGAACGTGGTGGGGAGACTGTCTGATGGGATCGCATTCAGACATTTCCCATTTCCCTGGCTCCTTTGTGGTGTGGAGGGGACCCTTGTCACTAGTTCCCGTGTCACCGTGGGGATGTCCCATTTTCCCGCTGAGCCTCCATTTACCCCGTTTTAAGAGCAGGGGTGTGGAGCAGACAACCTGGGGCTTAGAGACTTACTCATGGGGGGCCCCGTGTTCCTTATTATTTGTACTGTGAATTTGTGGGGAAAAAAAGATGGACTTTAGGGACGCTTGCCTCTGACAATGTCAGCTGGGGCTCTCGGGCGATGCCGGAGAAATCCGCCTCCTTGCTGAGGAAGTCTGCAATGCCCATGGCCCCCAGGATGGTCCTGAGGTCGTAGGCTCCGGAGATGGTCACCTTTGGGATGAACAGGTTTACCTGGCTGCTTGGGGGTAAGCAGATGGGGTTAGACTTTCCTGTGACTGGGCCAGGCCAGCTGACTTCTGTTTCCCCTGTGGTCCCTCCAGACCCTGTCTCCCAGCCAGACCTGATCCTTGCAGAAAAGGGAAAGGGACAGATCAAGACGTAGGATTTGCATCTCCCGCCCTTACACAGGCAGCTTCCTCTCGGGGCCTCTGAACAGCTCAATCTTTTCTTCTCACCTCATTCTTTGAGCTGATTCCACCTGTAGTATAGCTATGTCACTGGACACTGAAGAAGAGGTCCCTGAGCAAGTCCCTGTGGTCCCCCAAGCACCTCTGGGCGGAAGTAGAGGAGTGGAGGGAGCACCCAGCTGGGAGCAGCATCCTGGCCCCAGCCCTGCCACTAGCGCTGTGTGGCTTTAGCCAAGTCCTGTCTCTCTCTGTGCTTGTCCTCACGGACACAGCAAGGCAGCACCGGACAACAAAGGCTCTGGACAGGGCAGGACAACTGGCAGTCAGGGAGACTGCCCTATACCAGACTCCTGGTGGATGTCCTTTAGCTTCTGTAGGATGTCTAATGCACGCATGTGCCCGCAACCTTAGTAGGGTGGGGCCAACGTCTTCTACGTCCACATGGAGAGAATTGAACTCACGAGAAGCTCAAAGTCACGCCACTGGGAAGCAGCAGAATTGTGGAGAGGCCATGACTGGTTGCTTCAAAGTGTCCTTGCCTCATGGGAGGAGGGAGAGGGAAGAAGGGAGGAGGGAGAAGGAAGAAGGAAGGAGGGAGAAGGGGGGGGGGGGGAGGGGGGGGGAAGAGAAAGGAAGAAAGGGTGGCCACAAGCTCTGTGTGGGGCAAGGAGGCTTCCACAGACGGTGGGCAGCAGCCCGACCCTGAGGGGCGGCACTCCAGTGAGGGGGGTAGGTGATCCCAGGAGGGGTGAGGTGGGAGAAGGGCTGAGTAACACAAATCTAGAGGTGAGGAACCATAGTGTCTGCCTTCTAGGGCTAAGGGGGCATCACTGGGCTGGAGTAGAGAATTCGTGCCCGATCACATATGTCGCCTAAATGTGCAAGAGTCTGCCTTGGAGGTTTATTTTTAAAAAATCTAGAAGAAAATGGCATGTGTTATTGATATGTTTTAAGCTAAAGTGTTTTGGTGAAGAGATTATTTTTGGTGTAAAAAGAAAGATCATCCTTCTCATTTTCCACAGACTAGGAGCCAGAATTGGTGTGAACCCGGGTGTGTAATCACCAGCTGGCGACAGGGTTCCTGAACTACTGGCTCCCTTGGAAGGCGTGGGGGCAAGTGAAATGGTGAGAAGCCAGCCACGGGACCCCTTAGGTCACCCAAACACAGGCTCACATGCACGCCTACCCACCTCATCCCCAACCCCATGCTCAAGGTCAGGTGCAATGGGTCCAGGACTCTGAGAACACTTCTGGGTCTCCCCATGTCGCTATGAGGGATTTCTTGGAAACACGGAGCAGCCTCTGCAGCTCTTCCCCACAGGAGGTCAAACTCCCAGGCACTTCCACGTCTACTCAAGGAACTGGACTAACCTTTCCAGATTGAGCAGTGCTCTGAGGCTACAACTCAAAATTAAAATAACTCAAAACCACAAAACACAAAAACCTACGTATATATTAAAGTAGAGGGCTTCTTTCCAGATTTTCTGCCTTCAGAGCTCTTGATTTACATATTTCATTCGAGTAGAATTTGTCTCCTTCTTTGCAGCGGCTGTCTGACTCTGCGGGTGCCCTGGGCATGGCCCCCTGGATTTGGCTTGTGCCCATCCTTCCTCCATGCACGTTCTTGGAATGCCTTTCACTCCCACTCAGGCTTAACACACAGTCTGAATGGAAAGTGATTGTTCTGCAGCTCCTTCCCAGGTCCCCTGGGGCAGCCAGGCATTTCCACCTTCCCCCAGCTTCACACCTATCTCCTTTCCTCTCCTGCTACGAAAAAACCGATGTCATTGTGCACTATGGATTCTACCAAGCCTTTTCTCTGCTCTAGAGTGCACGTCTTTGAAGTCATATTCACCTTCTATCCTTTCTGGTTAGCCTAGCACATGGTATACAGCAGGCGGTTCAGTTTGTGTAGGAAGGAAGGAAGGAAGGAAGGAAGGAAAGGCAAGGCAGGGCACCTGCTCTGGAAACCTTCCTGATTCACTCCAGATCCAAGTGCCCACTTTCTGGGGGAGAAGGATAAGGGCTTACCCCGTGGTCAGGGACTCAGACCACCTCTGAATGGTGCCTCTGCTCAGCGCGGTGATGACTGTGTCCATCTTTCCCTCTTCTGGGAGGACAAAGAAGACAGTCTCATTGCCCATATACTCCAGTTGGACCAGCTGACAGGGGAGCACTGGGTCTTGAAAGTACTTGATGGGGCCCGACTGGACCATCATGGGCACTCTCACCACGGTGGTCTTGTTCACGTAGAAGTTTTCCTCCCTGGTGCTCTCCAGGTTGAAGGGCCGTTCCCATGTGCCTGGGAAGGAAGGGAGAAAGGAGACAGGCCTGTGAGAGCCGGAGGAAAACACAGTTTGGGTGGCCACAGAATACTAAGCAGGTGTCATGGCAGCCGCTCCCTGGAAGGTCCCCCGCCAGAGTGGCTAGAATTTTCTGGTAAGTTGTGAAATGCCCAGAAATTTAAAGCCTATTCTATCCTCTACTTCTTGAGCTGGGTTGAGGATTATTAACTCTGTTTCTGAGCCTCTAAAAAAAGGAAGGAGGGAGACAAACGAGAATACCCTTGGAATTGGGGGTAGAATTCAGTAAGCCAGACTTTGCCTGGCTGCCCGCCCTCACCCCCCGAGCCTAGGGTGGATCCTAGACAGGAGGGTTCTGGAAATGGTGCCAGATGGAACTTGGGCTACAAATTCAAGGTCGGGGTGGGAGGGGTTTGGAGAAACGGACCACCCATTCCATGCCCACGCCTTTACGTCAGGCCATAGAAGCCCAGCAGGCAGCCTGGCTGCCCAGCAGATTGTGTCCACTGCCTTGAGGGAGGCTCCTTACCTTCTATGTGGCCCCAAGGCAAAGTCAGGATGAGACAATGCCTTCAAGCTCCCACGCTCCAACCCACAGCTGGACTTGAATCCTTCCCCCATGCTCCACAATGGCATCACACAGCCTCTTTGTCTGCCTGGTGATGGGGAACTCACTACCTTCACAGACCAGGCTTTCATTACTGGTCATCTTTCATGGAAGGTCGATTGTTCCTTAGAGCCAAAGCCTGCCTGATTGTGAGGCCCGTTTGCAGAGCCTCTTTGGCCCTTCTGGGCTTATTCTAAGCAACTATGAGTTTTCTCACAGGTGACAGAATTCTGGATGTTTAAAGACATGGGTGGACCTCACCAGGGCCTCCAATGCTCTAAGTTAACTCCCCAGGTCTGGAGGTGACTGAGGACCCTGCATCCCCCTGGGGTTCCCAGGTGTCTTGGCTGTCCCTGGGAGTCCTTGTGAGGTCTCTGTTTCCCAGCTGAGGCTGCCTGAGGGTGGCCAGTGCTGAGCTCCAGGCAGACCCTTCTCCATCCCACTGCCTGCAGGGTCTGTGGACCCCAAGGCCAGAACTCTTGTTCTGACCCAGCCTCAACCCTCCCTGTAGGGGCTGCTAAGGGAGGCAGTAGGGAAAGATGGGAGGATGGAGGGAAAGGGCTGTGGATGTGGAGCTGGAGACCCTGAGGCTGTGCCTGTTCCACACCATGACTGAGTGTGATGTCATAGTCTGGCTGTCTGGGCCGAAGGTGGCGGTGTTTTGTGACTAACTTGTCCAACTCACAGCGAAAAAAAAAAAAAGTGAGTATTTTTCAGTGTTAGGTTTTTCATCCTTAAAAGTTTGCTATTGTTTTTTCCTGAGTATATCTTTTCTAGAAGAAAATGTAGCATATCCAGTTGGGCACAAAACAAAATATAGAATGGGGTCTAACCTCTACTTTAAGAGGTTCTTCTTGAAAATTCTCAAGCCAGGAGGCCTCGTGGTAGGGAAACTTAAGAATTTATGGGGGCAAATTGGAGAGAGCAAAGAAGATTCCTGATATGAGGATATCACTCCAGATATGAGACTGGGAAGGACAGAGAACTAGATGACTTTAGGCCAGGGTTTCTCAGCCTTGGGACAATGGCCATTCTGGAGCAGATATTATTGTGGGAGTTGTCCTGTTTTGCAGCACTCCCTGGCCTCTACTTACTAGATGCCAGGAACACACCCCACCCCACCCCACCCTCAACTGTGACAACCCAAAATATCTCTAGACGTGGTCAAGTGTCCCTGAAGGGGGTTGAAGATCACCCTGGGTTGAGAACCAGTGCTATCAACTAAGGAGCAGAGATTTTCTTCTCAAGGACAATGTATCCCCGAATTGTGTGTTCATAAAAATGATTGGGGGCGGGGCTTGTTAAAAACACAAATTCTAGGACTTTCTTGCAGAAGCTTTGCTTCAGTGGGTCTGGCATGGTCTCTGGAATCTAATTTTAACAAGTTGCCATGGTGATTTTTACGCACAAGAACTTTGGAAAACCCTGCTTCAAATTGATGAGGACAAGTTGAAGTTTGGCTAAGATGGGACTTGGTCAGAGCTGGCTGTGAGTGCTGGGGAAGTGTGTGGTATAGGGCCCATCTGGGGGGAGTTCCTGGGGGGCAGAGGCTATGTCTGTCTGGTCATAGGCTGTGTTTCCAGCTCTTGGCCCAGTGCCTGTTGCAGAGCCAGCACTCAGCCAATATTTTTCGACCATGAGTCAGCCAGTCTGTTCATGATTACATGTTTGGCCTCAAAAAAACCTGTAAGAGCGTGGGCTAGTTGCTCAATTCTTTTGGGTGTCATTTTGATCGCTTATAAGATGAGATATTCTACTTTCCTGATAGGATTATGGTGAGGATGGAGATTTACAGTTGAAAGTGTGCTTTGTAAGATCAAAGGCCTTGTCCAAGAATGCAGCCTGGGTTTTGATGGTTCTTACTATTTTTGGCAATGGGGTGAGTAGGGAGGTACCTTTGAAGAAGATGTAGTTGACCAGGATGAGCATGGCTGAACTATCCACCTTTGATATCAAGTCCACAATTTTCCCTTGTGTCTTATTTTTGATATACTCATTGATTTGTCTGCTGGCTCCAGCCCCATCCTTGAAATCTATAGCCAAAGCCTCCAACTCATAGTAGTGCTTGGTGTCTGCTGAGAATGACTCCAGAAGCTCCAGGCTGCGGTCAAGGAACAAAGCATTACCCATAACCATTTCCAACATGGTGTCTGACTCCTTCTCGAAGAGGTGGTGAAGGTGCTTAAAGCCCTGGTGAATCTCAGCTTCAGATATATTGGTGAGGTTGAAGCCCAGGCCTTGGAGGAGTTGGACCCGTGTGTGGCCACAGGATCCCAGAGACAGCATAGCTAAGGCCATGGAGATGCTCACAGGGGAGATGAAGACATTCTTTCCAGGAGCTGAAGCCACAAGATGCCTATATAGGATAAAGGCAAAGTCAACATTGTTTGGAGCCAAGTCCCGGTGAGGGCTCCTCTTGCTCACATCAGTATCTGGGTCCTTAGCCTGGACAGTCCAGAGGTTACTGGTGGACAGCCAGAGGAAATAGGTGCACAGGGAAAGCAGCATTGTCCAAGATGGTCAGGTCCTGCAAAATCAGGAATTCTCATTAGATAATGTAGGGTCTCCAAGGCAGTGAGGCATGGTGAAATGGTGGGCAGAAGACCCTGTGAAACACCCCACTCAAGCCTCACTTCCTTTCTCCACATTGGCTGTGTGACCTGGGACAGCTCAGGACTCTGGGACTCAAATTCCTCACCTGAAAGTATGATGATACCTGCTATGATTTTTCAAGGACCTACCCAACACCAGGTATCAAGACACCCAACACCGACCTATGTGTTTTACTTATATTTTCTCAACTAACCCTCACTAACAAACTAATAAAATAGGTATTATTATTATGATTTGAGGTAGGTAAAAATGGAAGCCCAGAGGGGTGAAATATCCTACCCATTGATATATTCAAAGAACTGAAAGGAAAAAACTCTCAACCAAGAATCCTGGATCTGGCAAAACCATCCTTCAAAAATGAGGGAGAAATCTAGACATTCCCAGATAAGCAAAAGCTGAAGGAGTTTATTACCACTAGGCCTCTCCTGCAAGAGATGCTAAAGGGAGTCCTTCTGGCTAAAATGAAAGGACACTAGAGAGTAAATATAATCTATAGGAAGAAATAAAAATCTCTGGTAAAGGTAAATATATGAGCAATTAGAAAAACTCATATTATTGTAATCTTGCTTGGTAACTTCACTTTTTATTTTTGATATGATTTAAAAGACTAATCTATGAAAAGCAATTATTAGTCTATGTTTTTTGGATACACAATGAATAAAGATGTAATTTGTGACTTAAATAACTGAAAGAATGTGGGGATTGAGCTACATAGGTGTGGGGCTTTCGTATGCTATGAAAGTGAAGCTGGCATAAATTCAATGAGAGTGTTATAACTTTAGGATGTTAAATATAATTTCCATGGGAACCAGGAAGAAAATAGCAACAGAGTATGCACAAAAGGACATGAGAAGGGAATTAAAATCTTTCACTACAAAAAAATCAATAAAACATAAAAGAGGATCGTAATGCAGGAAATGAAGGACGAAAAAAAAATCCATAAGGCATTTAGAAAACAAATAGGAAATGGCAGAAGTCCTTCTTTATTAGCAATTACTCTAAATGTAAATGGATAAAATTCCCCAACCGAAAGACAGAGATTGGCAGATGGATTTAAAAAATGATCCAACTATGCACTGACTACAAGAGACACATTTTAGATCCAAAGACATCAATATGAAAGTGGAAGGATGGAAAAAGATAATACATATAAATAGTTACCAAAAGAGAGTGGGGTAGCAGAAGGAAGGAAACAATAAAGATTAGAGCACAGATATGTAAAATAGAGAATAGGAAAACTAGAGAAAATCAATGAAAACAGGATATAATATATCTAATTGATATAGTATAATATACTATGATGATATAGAATTAATATAATATGGTCTTCAAAAAGGTGAACAAAATTGACAAACCTTTAGCTAACTGAGTAAGAAAAAAAGAGAAGTCTCAAATTACTAAAATCAGAAATGAAAATGGGGACTTTACTGCCAATTCTTACAGAAGTAAAAATAATTATAAGAGAGGCTGCTGGGTGGCTCAGTTAGTTAAGTGTCTGACTCTTGATTTTGGTTCAGGTTTTGATCTCAGGGCCCTGGGATTGAGCCCTGCATCAGGCTCCATGCTCAGTGGGGAGTGTGCTTGAGATTCTCTCTCTCTCTGTCTCCCCTCTGCCCCCCTCTCTCTCTAAAATAAAAATAAATAAATTTTAAAAAGAATTATAAGAAAATATTAAAAAAAAAATTAAACACCAACCAACTGGATAGCCTAGATAAAATGAAATAAATTCTGGAAATGCAAAACTTACTAAGACTGGATCACAAGAAATGGAAAATCTGAATAGACCTGTATGTAGTAAGAAAATTGAATCAGAATTGAAAACCCAAAAAAGAAAGCCCTGGACCAAATGGCTTAACCACTGAATGCTACCAAACATTAAAGAAATCACATGAATCCTCCTACCAAAAAAACCAGAGTGGAGGGAACATTTCCTAACTCACTCATTGCCCTGATACCAAAGCCAGATAAAGATGCTGTAAGGACAGAAAAGTACAAATGAATAATGCCCATGAACATTGATGCAAAAATCCTCAACAAAAAACTAGCAAATAGAATTCAGAAACATACAGCATGGCCAAGTGGGATTTATTTCTAGAATGCAAGGATGGTTCTATATACAAAACTCAACTAACATGCTATAACAGAATGAAGAAAAAAAAAGACTATGATCATCTCACTTGAAGCAGAAAAAGCATTTGGCATAATTCAACACACCCTTTCAAGATAAAAACACTCAACAAACTAAGGCTAAAGGGAAACTACTTCAATATAAAAAAAAAAAATTGTAAACCACAGCTCATGGTGAAAGATTGAAAGCTTTTTATCTAAGATTCCCAGAGCAAGGAAGGATGCTTACTTTTGCCTCTTCTGTTTAACACAGCACTGGAAGTCCTAGCCAGAGAAATTAGGCAAGAAAAAGAAATAAAAGATATCCAAGTTTGAAAGGAAGGAGTAAAATGATCTCTGCCCATAGGCAACCTGATCAACATCATAGCCACATGTAGAAAACCTTGAAGATTCCATAAAAACCCTTCTGGAACTAAGAAATGAATTCAACAAAGCAGCAGGCTACAAAAACAGCACACACACACACACACACACACACACACACATACACACACCCAACACATCAGTTCCCATACTAACAATGAACAAACTGAAAAGGAAATTAACAATTATGCTATTTACAATAAAATCAAGAAAGAACGATTTCTTGGACATGACATTAAAGGCACAAACAAGGGGTGCCTGGGTGGCTCAGTGGGTTAAAGCCTCTGCCTTCGGCTCGGGTCTCGATCCCAGAGTTCTGGGATCGAGCCCCGCATCCGGCTCTCTGCTCAGCAGGGAGCCTGCTTCTTCTCTTTCTCTGCCTGACTCTCTGCCTACTTGCAATCTCTGTCAAATAAATAAATAAAATCTTAAAAAAAATAAAGGCACAAACAACAAAAGGAAAATTAGACACATTGGATTTTCTAAAATCAAAAACTTTTGATCACCCAAGGACACTATCAATAGAGTAGAGAGGCGACCCACAAAATGAGAGGTAATATTTGAAAATCCCATATCTGATAAAGGGTTAATATCCAGATTACATAAAACTCAAGTTAAAAAATAAAAAAAAATCTAATGTAAAGAATGGGCAAAGTTGTTGAGTAGACATTTCTTCAAAAGAAGATATACTGATGGCCAACAGGCACATGAAAAGATGTTCACATTAGAGTCATCAGGGAAACACAAATCAAAACCTCAATGAGATACAATTTATACCCATTTGCATGGCTGTTTCAAAAACTAAACCAAGTCAAACCACAAACAGCAAAACAGAAAACAGGTGTTGGCCCGGATGTAGAGGAGCTGGAAACTCTGTATCTTTCTGGTGGAAATAAAGGGTATGACAGGTCCTCAAAAAATTAAATATAGAATTACCATGTGATCCAGAGATTCTTCTTCTGAGGAATTGGAAACAGGGACTTGAACAGATATTTGTACAACCCAGTGTTCACGATTGCGTTGTTCATAATAGCCCAAGAACCAGAAACACTTCAAATGTCCATCAGTAGATGAATGGATAATAAAAGGTGGTTGTATAAGGAAAACCTTCCCTGTGTTTCTCCTTTCCTCACACATAACTGCACGCTTTACTCTGATGCCAGAGATGTGGGTTTCCCACACACCAATCAATTTACCCCCAGCTGAGGGGGAATGCCACTCAATTCCATAATGGATCTAGAGTCCTACAGTGTAACTCAATTCTGACACTGTCCTCCTGGAGATAGTGTCAGACCCCCTGGGTTAAGGGCTCAGTTCCCACAAGATTGCCCACCCCCAACTTCAGATGCCAATCACAAGTCCCAGATTGTCACTCTGTCCTTTTGACTGGCTATAAATCAGGGTTCCCGAGACTTTATTTTTGGTTCGATAATTTGCTAGACTGGCTCACAGAGCTCAGGGAAACACTTATGTTTACTGGTTTATTACATAGGATGTAATAAGAGATTTAGTGGGTGAGGTCCAGAAGGGTTCTGAGCACCAGAGCTGGTGTGGGCCACCCTCTTGGCATACAGATGGGGCCACTGACCCAGAAGCTCTCTAAACCCTGTATTTTGGGATTTTGATGGAAGCTTCATCATGCAGGCAGGATGGATGATTAACTCCAGCACCTCTTCCCTTCCCAGAGAAAGGAGGGTGGGGCTGAAAATTCCAAGCTTCTAATCATGGCTTGGCCTTCCTGGGACCAGCCCTATCCTGACGCTCTCCACGCCACCTACCAAAATTCACCTCATTAGAAGGAAAGATGCTGTGGTCACCTGGGAAATTCCAAGGGATTTAGGAACTCTGCATCAGGGATCATGGGCAAAGACCGAATGTTAGAACAAGAGATGTTCCTGGTGCTCTTATCACTTAGTTAGAAGGGTTTTAGGAGCTGCATTTCCTTAGTGCAATACGGAGTCAGTGATAATACCCACCACTGGCCTTGCCCATCTGCCATTCTGATCTTCTGATCTTTGTTTCCCCTGTCCCTGTCTCAGTCCACCATCCAAGTCTGGGGCCTGTCACCTCTTCCAGCATCAGTGGTCACCTCTACCTGGTCTCTTGTCCCTGCTCAGCTCCCTCCCACCCTTTCTCCCCTCTGCAGCCAGAGGAGGCATCCTTTATAAAGCTGATTGGCCATTCTCCCACTAAAAAGCTTTCTGTGGCTCCCATTCTTTCCAGGAGGAGCTGGTCCTCACTTCATGACTCCATGCCTGGTGACAGCCCTGCCCTGCCTCAAATTTGGCCCCTTGCATTCTGAGCCCCGCTCTACTGGGTATGTCCAGTTTCCTCTAGCACACACCAGACTTTCATCCCTCTGCCAGGGTCACGGTAGGGTGGGTCATTTCAGGTCCCCATTGTTTGGGGACCCCGGCTCTGACCCGGGAGCTGGGGACAAAGACAGACCTGCCCCAGTCCTGTCTTCTGTGGATCCACTCTGCAGTCCCAACCTTTCCCTGCCTTGCCTGGCTTATGTCCCTTTGTCCTAGGACACCCAAGTCCCAGCTCTCCTCCAGGAGCCCTGTCCTCTGTACTTTCATGTCATGGCCCCGTCCCATTGCAGAGAAATCCCTGTTCTCCCCATCCCCTCCACACCTCCCTTGGGGAAAGGACCAGAGCCGGATAGGCTTTTCCACTTCTTCTGGCTTCCTCTCTTATTCCTGTTGTCTCTGGGAATTCGTCCCTCATCCCTTTCTGTGTTAAGTCCACAAAGTAAGGATGAACCCTCTCTCCACCTCCCGAGTTGTCACGAACATCAGTCACAGTGCTTATGAATGCTTTCTCTTGTGGCCTCGTGCAGCGGGTCATCCTGGGCCCACTTTAGAGATGAGAAAACTGAGGCCCAAGGAGGCAGAGGAACTGGTTCAGAGCTGAGATTCTAAGCCCTGCAGCCTGCCCTCAGAGCCAGTGCCATGCCCTTCTGCGCTTCTCTCTAGAAAACAAAGCGATGAGAGGAAAAGAGGTCTCTAAACAGTACCCAGCAACATTACCAAGCAGAGTGTCAATAGTCTTCATGAATTTCATTTCATGTATGTCCTTCTTGTTTCTCATTTTTGAATCAAGGCTCAAAGTAAATGCCCACTGCTTTCACTACTTTCACGAAGGCCTCTCTGGGCCAGGTAGCATCTCGGGCCTTCTGCATTTAAGCCTTGGTGTCATGCAAGGAGTCCTGTTGAATCTGCAGTGTCCTCACCCCAGGTGGACCAGCGAGGAAGTAGATGTGTGCGATCCTGGGGTGCGCACAGTCCGCTATGTCAGTGGGCACCGCTGTCCCTGCCTGCACCCCCCAGCAGGGGCGCTACATTGTGCCCGTCCAGTCTAGCTGTCAGACTCCCTTGTGTTACTTGGCTGGGCTTAGGGACATCCCGTGGAATGACAGATGGGAATGGCTCTTGGCTTAGTGTCAACCCCTTCAAGGCTGGAGGCGGGGGCAAATCAAGCCCCCATGGGTGACCCACCAACTGCAAAACCCTCCCCATAACACCGCTCAGACACCTGGCCTCAGATCACTGCTGGCTGCCCTAATGCTCAAAGTCCATTACAAAAATTAAACAAGCAAGGTGCGCATGGCTTCATTCTGGCGGCTGGGCAGGAGCGGGAGGGATGGACACGGTTCAGGTGCTACTCACAGTTTGCCGAGGGCTCGGGCTGCAGCCACTGGCTGGATCTGGCTGTCCTGGGCCCTAGTATGTGTACAGTAAGCCTGCGGGGCACCCCGGCTAAATCTTGTTTGCCAGCTCCCCTGCTGGTTAATGGTTAGAGGGGGTACAGTGGCCTTTGCCATTCGGTGGTCCCCTCCCCCCGGATATTAACCAATGGGTTTTTTTCCAGGATATTTGAGCAAACACAGCAATGCTGCAAGTTAACTTTCCTCTGCGTTCAGTTCTCTGACGTTTTCTTTTTAATATCAAAAAGAGGCTGGAGTTGCATCACCGCCTGTGGTTGCCAGGTGAATGCTAGCATGGAGGCCAGAGGTGCCCTTAATTAGCCCAGTGGTGCAGACTCCTGTGAAGAACCAGGTGCTAAGCTTAGGACAGGGGATGAATCTAATGAGGTCCCGCTTTCAACGGGACCTCCGTCTGGCAGGAAAGAGACGTGGAAGAAAAGCAGCCAAGTGCTTCCCACAGATTGTCTCATGTAATCTTCCAAAGACATTACGAATTAGAGACTGTTATTCTCACTTTTGTTTGGATAAGGAAACTGAGGCCCATGGAGCTTAAGTGAAGCTCCCCTTGAGATTCATACCCAAGAACATTCCACTCAAAAGTCTAGCTCCTTCCATATTCTCTGCATTTTTATTTATTAGTTCTCTATTGGTTGGAAGTGACAGATAACAAATTTCTTTAAAGCAAAAAAAAAAAAAAGGAATATAAATTGGATCTCATGAATGAGAGTTCTGAAGAGTGGGGAGGGCTTCAGGCTTGGCTGGATCCAGGGATTCCAAGTTGGGTATCATATCTGTCTCTTTTTTAAAAAAAATTCTTGGGGCACCTGGGTGGCTCAGTGGGTTAAAACCTCTGCCTTCAGCTCGGGTCATGATCCCAGAGTCCTGGGATCAAGCCCCGAATCGGGCTCTCCGCTCAGCGGGGAACCTGCTTTCCCCCCCTCTCTCTGCCTGCTTCTCTGCTTACTTGTGATCTCTGTCTGTCAAATAAATTAAAAAAATTAAAAAAAAATTCTTTCTGAGCTCTTCTTTATTCAGCTTTCATGCTTTACCCTGTATGGTGAGGACAAAGGTAGCCATTGCAGCTCTAAGTTATTTGTTTCTAACTGGTTATTTGTTATCAGAAAGAGAGAGACTCACTTTTTCTCCCTGTTCATATCAGTCCCTGAAAGGACTCAGGGTATGATCAGTCATCATTGGCTTGATCACAGCACGCAGAATATGGCCTGCTAAGCCTAGGCAGGGTCTTGTGCCCTCTGCTGGTTGGTAACATTATTACTTCCCTCCAGGGATGAGTGGAGCTGTTTCTAGGAGTAAAAAGGAAAAGTTGTAACTAGGGCCGGTTCTAGAATTCTGGGGGCACTTCAGTTTTATTAATACTTATTGGTCTTTTTCTAAAAAGTTTTTTAAATTTATTAAGGCAATTTTGGAATTTATACCTAGGAATTTATTATTTTTCAATCTCGTCATATCAGTAATTTTTTTCTTTCTGTATTTTATTTACATATTTCCTCTCTTTTCCCCTCGATGAGTCTTATTAGGGAAATCTGCCTAGTTAATTAATCTTTACAAAGGATCAGCTTTTAGTTTTTAGTTTTCTTAATCCTTACTGTGTTTTAAACCTTTTTAAAAAATTGATTTCTTCTTTTATTTTTACTTTTTACCATCCTTTGAAATTCCTACATTTTCAAATATTGTTCTTTTTCTATTTTCTTGAGTTAAAGGCTTAGCTAGCTTTCCTACTTCTTAACGTTTTGAGTCTCCATATAAATGTAATTAAAGTTAAAAGTCTTCATCTAACTTCTGACTGTGTGATGCCCCCCCAAAGTTTTGATATTGATTATTTTCATTGTCATATTTTGATGTGCTTCTAGTTCCCTTTATGGTTTTATTTTTAACCCCAGGGTCTTCAGTAATATGTCATTTAGTGTATTTAGAACCTTGGGATACTCTTTTGCTATTTACTTTTTTAAAAAAAGATTATTTATTTATTTATTTATTTGAGAGAGAGAGCACACACGAGCAGGGGGAGAGGCAGAAGGAGAAGGAGAAACAGACTCCCCACTGAGTAGGGAGCCAAACACGAGGCTCGATCCCAGGACCTCAAAATCATGTCCTGAGCCAAAAGCAGATGCTTAACGACTGAGCCACCCAGGTGCCCCTAATATTATTTACTTTTATTTCACTTTGGTCAACAAGTGTTATCTACAAGGCACACCCAACAGATACTATTCCTTTGGCTCCAGACCACCACAATAAAGTGCATTTCACAATAAGGTAATTCCAATGAAATTTTTGGCTTCCCAGTGTATATAAAAGTCATGTTTACACTACACAGCCATCTCCTAAGTGTCCGACAGCATCATGTCTTAAAAAATGTATATACCTTAAATAAAAAATACTTTATTGCAAAAAAAAAAATGCCAAACATCATCTGAGCTTTCTGCAGGTCGTAATCACTGATCAGAGATAACTGTAACAAATATAATAGTAATGAACAAGTTGGAAATACAGCAAGAATTACCAAAACATGACCCCGAGACATAAAATGAGCAAATGCTGTCAGAAAAATGAGCCAACGGACTTGCTTGATGCAGGCAGGGTTGCCAGAAACGTTTAATTTGAAAAAAGACAGTACCTGTGGAGCCGGATGGAGTGAAACACAATAAAACAAGGATGCCCGTGTAGGACATTGAACGTGTGGAACTGACTGAGGATGTTTTGCAATCCTATGTGCTTTATCTTTATGAATGTTCCATGTTTTCTTAAAAACCAGTGGGTAGTGTCTGTTCAGTATGCATAGCTGTGTGTCCATATGTGCGTACGTATAATTGCTTGAGCTCATTCTTTTGTTCGGCATCTGTGCTGATTCTCTATCCACTTGAGCTTTCTGTCTCTCAGTGGGGAATGTCAAAGTCTCCAGTCCTGATGGTTCATCCACTTATCTCTACCAGTTCTTGGTTGACGTACTTTGAGGCTGTTAAAGCAGGTATATTTTGATCATTATATCCTCTTGCCCTAGTGCTTAATTTTCTCTTATCTCTGTTTCATGTGACACATTTTGCCTTCAGTTCTACTTTGATAAGATTGTTTTCCTAACCTTGTTTTGGTTCATACTTGCCTGATCTATCCCATCCTCTCATTTCCAAATTATGCTTTCTTGTTTTAAAAGTGTCTCACGTCTACAACATTTAGTTGAGTTTATTTTTATTATCCCAAATGACATTCTCTGTCTTTTAATTGGCAAAATTAACCTCTTTACATTTATTTTTAATTATTATCGTATTAGGACTGACATACCATTTTATTTCATATATTCCATTTACTATCTATTTTTTTTCCTTTTTGTGTCCTTTATTTATTTGCATTGAAAAGATAGAATTTTCTCCTATTGGTTCAAAAGATATTTGTTCTGTTTTTGGTATTATGGTGGTTGCCCTTTACTGAAAAACCTTCAGCGAAGGACCTAGCCATCATGGGGGCAGAGACAAGCCACTCCCATCGTGCCCCGTCTGATTTCCTGTTCTCAGAATACAAGAGCATAATAAATGGTTGTTTCTAGCTATTAAAATTTTAGGTAATTTATTACTAGGGCATAGTACCTAGAACAGATTTAGGTACCTGGGAGTGGGTGGGGTGCTGCATAATGGAGATGGAATGAGGCAACAGTCCTGGGGTCAGCTGACAAATGGGAGTTGGAAAGGTCTTACAATGACAGTTAGTGGACACCTGTGACCCTTGAAGAGGTTGTTAATAGAAAGTGGGGACTGGGCTATAGGAAGGAGGAAGAGGACTTTTACCATGTAGAGCAGAAAGTTTCACAACACTGTCACCTGCGGTAACATGAGTGTGGAAAATGTCTCAAATGAGCTGGTAGCTGATGAGATTTCAAGGTGGACTGGAGAAAATATGGTCTGGTTTATTCTTACTACTTAGAGTAAACCGTGGGAGGTGCCAGATAAGCTTAAACATTTTTGTTTAACATTTTGCTAAAAATGTTAAACATTTTTAACATTTTGTTAAACTTTCTGGGTTAAAAAGATAATAAAGTTTCTCCCTCTTAAGCTAAAGATATTGTCTTTTGAGAAGTACCTTATTTAAGTAAGATGGAAGAGAAGTGACTGTTTCTGTCAGAATTTCTTTTTCCTATTGATTGGTAGGAGTGCCGGGAAGAGAGGTAAATAAATTGCGAAAAAGCTTCTCTAAGTGTGTGCCTGACTTTTTGTTGTCGGTGTGGAATCTTTTGATGAACAGAGTGCAGGGTTCCAGCGGAGCCCAGTCCTCCTATTAATTCTGCGGTCAGTGCTGCTTCTGTCTGGTTTCGAGATCTTTGCCTCCCCTGATGTCGTGAAACCTATCTTCCCATATTTTCTTTTTAGAAGCTTTGATCGCCTTATTTTTCACATTTAGATCTGCAGTCTATCTAGATCTGATTTGCGTGTATGGTGTGAAGTGGGCATCAAGTTCATCTTTTCCCATATGTCTGTGCCATTTAGTGACAAGAAGGATTGCATTCGTTAAAGTGTCTGTCTCATGAAGGACAAAATGTGTTACCTCTTGGAAGACACCGGAGAGCCGCTAACATCTGCAATGGTGTGATTCCAGAGGCAGAAGTAGTGATTCATCAAGAAGCTTCTCCCCGCATTTGGGGGTGACCCCAGAAAGACCAGCAAGTCATCCCTGATGGTTTCCTCAATGCATCCTCCTTAACTGTGGGAATGCGTGCTACGAAGGATGTTACTGAGATGATCGACAAGATTAGAATATGAACGGTATGTTAGAGGAGAAGTTTTATAGGAGTGGTGACTTTTCTGAAGTTGAGAGCTTTACTGAAAAATAGTACCCCTAATGCTTAGAAAATAGACATGGAAGTATTTAAGAGTAAAGTGTCGTGGTATATAAAGTGGACCCTGAAAGCATTCTGGAAATACATGTACATATATATCATATGCGGTGAAGGCTGGATGCCTCTGTGAGCCTAGCACAGCCCTGAGGGCATGGTCAGACCTCGATCAGGAGAGCCAGAGCTGAAATTGTTATTTTATCTCCTTAGTGAATGGTGCC